AGGGAGAGCCAAGACTGAAGCCTTTGGTCTTCTTATTGCACAAGTCTGACTTTTTTTTTTGTAACGGGATCAAACTCAGGCCCTTGTACTTGCAAAGCAGGCAGCAGAACTACTGAGCCAAATCCTCGGCCCAAGCCTGACATTTTGGAGGCTTGATTTCCTCCAGCTTTGTGCCCTCCTTCTCACCTCCCAGCTGGCCACACTGCACAGGTCTCTAACGGAACAAGTGTGGGCACTGTCAGTTTAGGCACGTTCTTTCTCAGATGCCAGGTGCTATCCATCCTTGGCTTCATTTCCTGAACTGTTTTGTCAATGCTTAGACACTATGGTGACGAATGCTGAGTAATAGAACTACCATCGATATGGCAACCATCGGATACTTCATCTGAACTTGCCTCGTACAACCAGACAAGATTTATGGGCTGCTGGCTGCCAAGAGCTGGGGAAGGGTAGGAATGGGGAGTGGCTGCTAATGGGTAGTGGTTTTAAAGGGAACAAAGTGTTCCAGAATTAGACACTGGTGATGGTTGTGCAACCTCATGACTAAAACTACTGAACTGTATACTTTTAAAAGGTGAATTTTAAGCTGGGCGTGGTGGCGCACACCTGTAATCCCAGCTCTCGGGAGGCTGAGGCAGGAGGATCACTGTGAGTTCCAGACCAGCCTGGGCTACATAGTGAGTTCCAGGTCAGTCTCAACTACTTAGTGAGACACTGTCTCAAAAAAAAAAGGTGAATTTTATGGTATGTGAATTATAATATCTCAATAAAAATATGGCTATAATTGAGCAAGATATTAAGAAATGCACAGGGCCTAGGATTTAGCTCAGTGGTTCCACCTGTTGCCTCGTAAGCGCAAGGTCCTGAATTTGATCCCCAGTTTAAAAAAAAAATGCTGGCAAAGATAAATTAAAGCTTTCATGTTTTTGACGACAGAGTTGGGGATGGTGGTACACACTTGTAATCCCAGCACTTGGGAGGCTGAGACAAGAGGACTGCCATGAATTTGCAGCCAGTCTGAACTACACAGTGAAATTTTGTCTCAATAAAACAATTATATATAAGTGTCATAGCTTTGGGAAACATTTGGGAGGCTTTGGAAAATATTTTGGGAGGTCCTCAAGAAGTGAGACATGACGTCACTAAATCATCTAGCAATTCTATTTCATATAACCAAGAGAAATGCAAATATATGTCCATTCAAAAATGTGCACACAAATGTTCATGGAAGCATCATCCCTAACAGCCAAAGGTACAGACAGCCTATACTAAATGAAGTGTGGTAGAGCTTGCAATGGCTATTAAAAGGAATGAAATACTGACATTTGCTGCAACCTGAGAGAACCATGAAAAATTACATTAAATAAAAGAAGCCAGTCACAAAAGACCATTTATTATATAATTCTAGTCATTTAAAATGCCCAGAATAGGCAAATCTATAAAGAAAGTAGACTAGTAGTTGCCTACGGCTGGAATGGCTCTAAGAAAATGAGGAACAACTGCTAACAGGCATGGGTTTTCTTTTTTTTGTGGTGATAAGAGCATAAAAAAGCTGTGTAGATGGTTGCATGACTCTGTGAATGTATTAAAAATCATCAAAAAGTACCTTTTAAATGACTGAATTGTGTGCATGTGAATAATATCATAATTAAGCTGTGTTAAAAATTCATAGGCTAACTTCCATTAGTTTTTAGGAAAATACTTACCTAAAGCCAAGCTACTTTTAAATACAGTAAAAACTTGATGTAGCACAGCCTGAAACCTGTTAAGGAGATTCATTTAAACAAAGTCAGAAAAAAAAAAAAAAAAAAAAAAAAGCAGCAACCCATAATATAGTAACAACTGGATGTCTCTGGGGCCAAGTTCAAGATTTGAGCAGGTCTACAGAAATGCCTCCAGAAAAACTATTTAATACTAATGCCCTTGCCAGGCCTGGTGGCATACACCTTTAATCCCAGCATTTGAGAGGTTGAAGCAGGAGAATCACAGCCAATTCAAGGCCAGCCTGGACTACATAGCAAGACCTTGTCTCAGAAAAATAAAAAACACACTAATGCCCTTAATTTTTCCCAGTATTAGCCTCTGGACATGTACAAAATAATTACAGAACTGTGTATGGTAGTGCACATCCATAAACCACAGTACTCAGGGAGGATGAGGCAGGAGGATTTCAAGTTTAAACCCAGCCTGAGCGACTTAGCAATTTTTAACAAGACCCTGTCTCAAAACAAAACACTGAAATTAAAGACACCTATCAATAAGGCCGGGCGTGGTGGCGCACACCTGTAATCCCAGCACTCCAGAGGATGAGGCGGGAGGATCGCTATGAGTTCGAGACCAGCCTGAGCTACATAGTGAGTTCTAGGTCAGTCTCAACTACATAGTGAGACCCTGTCTCAAAAAAACAAAAAAGACACCTATCAACAAAAACCTTACTTCTGGTTTGAAATTGTATGTGATGTTTGCATGTTATGTCACATTCGAGAAGCTAGTCTATTATTAGAAAAGTACTTATTGCAAAAACTTGAAACTTTATTTACTTAGGATCTGAGAATTAATACTCAAAAAGAGATTAAATGTTTCCCAGGCTATCTTCTCAAGGATAAGTTTTGACATGGAGAACTGAAGCAAAATGAGAAACACATTTAGGGGGTTTTCACAGTACTCCAGTTAAAAATACTACACTATGGCAGTGCAAATGGAACTCCTAGTGCTAGAGCCCTAGGTTCAATCCCTAGTACCAACAAAAACAAAACAAAATAGCACTGAGCTATTCATTTTTACTTTCTCAAAGAAACTTTGCCATTGCTCCCCGCCCCTGCCCCCGCTTCATTCAATTCTCTCTCTCTCTTTTTTTTTATCGTACTGGGGATTGAACTTGGGCCCTTCCACTTGCAAGGCAGGCACCGGAACCACTGTGCTAAATCCCCAGCCCTCATTCAATTCTTTGAGACAAGAAGAACATAGAATCCAACTTGAAAAGGAGAGGTGGGCAACCCCAAACCTGGTAACGTTGAGTTGGTGAGCTACTTTTTAGAAACAAGCTACCCAATAACAGTATCTTTTCTTTTAATTTAACAACAAAACTTTAAAAATAAAAATGTACCCTTAAATATAAAACCTTAGGCTGGGCACGGTGGCACATGCCTATAATCCCAGCACTTGGGAGGCTGAGGCAGGAGGATTGCTGTGAGTTCGGGACCAGCCTGGGCTACATAGTGAGTTCCAGGTCAGTCTCAACTACTTAGTGAGACCCTTTCTCAAAAAACAAATACAAAACTTTTATAGAAGATGTACTGGAGATGACTGATCAAATTTTAATGGAGTAGAGACTATATTTAGAAATCTTATGTATGCTTAGAAAGGAGCTTTCTAGGCTTATGTAAATAAACACTTTACAGACACAGGCACTAAACTATAGAAGCCTCTAGCCTCACCAAGTGACCTACAATTAGAGTAAGGTCTGAACTTAAGTTTTATAACTCCTGATTCAGTTTTCTACTCTCTTAAACTCAGCCTTAAATACAATATATATAACTTTAAAAGAAAGTTATATAGGGCCTGGGATTTAGCGCAGCGGTGCCGCTGCCTGCCTCGCAAGCGCAAGGACCAGAGTTTGCTCTCCAGTACCAAAAATTAAAATTAAAATAAAAAGAAAGCTATATACTATCCCTAAGTTTTATAAATTGTATTTCCAATGACAGTAATTCTACACCTACCTTCACACTGGGTAATGGTACTAAATAAGTTCCTATGATGGCACGTAGGGAAACTGGACTGAAGCTGGAGGGAGAAATGAAAGTACTCTTGAAGGTGGAGTTATGACTGACTCGCAGGCTGTAACTAAGAAAGCACATGGTCAAATTAGAGGCATGGTCAATTAGCCCTTGAATGACAGTTATACATATAATAATTTATACATATAAAGCATCTGTTTGTCCTTTGACCTTTTAAGAAAATGTATTGATATCCCTTGTCAAAATCTATCTTCTTTTAGGTATTCCAAGGAAAATACAAAAGGATATGAAAGAGGAGTTAAAAAAATACAAAAACCTGAATTATGAGTTACATTAAAAAGCTATCAAATTACTTTACTGAATAATGTAACAGCAGACCGACCGTCCCCTTCATCCACAAGAGCTTTATGCAAAGACTGCCTGCTTGGGAAAAGCAGTGTACTACGCTGTCCCAGTCCAGGGACCAACACTCTCCAGTCCCACATGCATCTGATTGAAAATAACAGTACCTTTTCCCACCATTACCCTACGGTTCAGGTAAAAAGTCCATAGCTTTAAACCTTAACTACCAAATATATCAAGTAAGAAATACACTGACTTATTTTGCAACTAAAGAAATATAGATAATTAAAACCAGATGTCTTATTCAAGAATAGCAGAAGATCTATATGTTCATGGATATTATTTTCCTACAGAGATGAAAAGATCTATAAAGAGGTCTTACGATCACAAAAATTCACAAGTTAGTGATCAAAGTCACAGTGACAGAAGAAGGAAAACTTTAAGGCTACTACTGGCAGAAAATACAATTTATTAAGGAATGGGGTTGTATATATTTAAATTATGCAATGTGAAAACACTAACAGATATGTCAATTTCAGCACTGCTCACTATAGTAAAAGACCAGGAAGAGCCATAAGGAAGCCGTTAAATTACAGTACACCAGGCCGAGGATTTAGCTCACTGGATCTGCTGCCTGCCTTGCAAGCACAAGGTCCCAAGTTTGATCCTTGGTACTCAAAAACAATAACAACAACAACAAAAACAAAATTACGGTACACCTATACAAAGGGACACTGTGGACACACATCACAAGCATGCAACACCATACAGCTGGGTCCACATGTGTTACTGTGCATTGTGCAAGTTTCAGAACATACTGATAACAAAAGCAAGATGCAAAACGGTGTACAAAGTATGGGATGGGAAGGAGGTTTATTCTTAATTTAAACATACTATAAGCAATAAATTTTTTAAAAGTACCTGCTAGTGTCTTAACAGTACCTTTTTTGGTTCTTATACCTCTTTTTCCAGGTACTTTTTTGTCTTTTGCTGAGAAGTTCTTTCCATCTTTGGGGCCTTCACACAGAGCACTTTTTGAGCTCTCGCTGGCGGCCACATCACAGCTGGACACACAGCTTTCATTATTGTTGAGACTGTCTTGCTCTAGCACTGCAGTTTTCCCCATAGCACTACCACTGCTGGTCAGAAGCTCAGATCCATCTCCATCAAGGTGATTTTCATTTTCATCTGATGCAGAAGGCAAGTGTCTTACTCTCCTTTCTGTGCTGTCACCAGGATGACACCCATCTTGTGATTCTATCTGCAGATTATATGTAGGAGGGTCGCTGTCATCCATTAGCGCATGCTTTGTTGAATCATTTAAAATTTCACTGAAGTCCTTCCATGTCTACAAAGACAAAAATAAAAAAAAAAACACTTCATTTTCTAATCTCTGGGGATTCAAAGTGAACTCTGAATTTCCTCTTCTCTTGTGTCATTTCACTGTGAGGAGAAGGAAATGGCTAAAGTTCACACCTACTCACCTTTTTCCACTTGCAGCAACACCCCAATTTCACCTAGTTCTTGCTTTAATACAAAGGTTCTCAACTTTGGCTGCTTCTTAGAATTACTTGGGAGGCCACCCAAATTCTCTTCCAGACTCACTAAATCAGAATCTCTAAGGATTATAGACACACTGACACATTTTTTTAAAGTTCTGCAGTTGATTCTGATGTGCATCACATTGGGACTGCTGACTTTATATAATAAATTACTGATTAAGCAGGTCACCTGCTAAAACCATTCATATCCCTGACACCAGAGAACTGGAAGCCAGTTGTAAAAATCCTTCGGCTAATCAGTAGGAATATTTATAAATGAAAACATTCAAAGATACAATATTTTTAAAATTCTTTTTAGAAAAGCATGGGGGGGTGGGAATTCAGGTAGCATATATTCATATTACATAGCATAATCTCCCTCTTTTTATCTTTTGCTTCCTAAAAATAAGCCCAGGAAAAGTACCTTAGAATTGTCAGCAAAATCCTTTTAAACAATTATATTAAAAAAAAGAGAGATTCAGAATTAAGGATTATTTTAATCTTACATCATTGCCTTTTCTCTTTTACTTTCCTTTTTAGTTTTATTTTAGGATTCCCTATATTTAATGTTCATACAGAGATTTCTTTAACTGAAATACCGAATAGTTTCTCTGGTGTGAAAAACTATAATAGTACACAGGATCCTAATGAGATAATTAATAACGTGAAATAGGAAGTAAAAGGCTAAAGGTGTAGGGAAAGTAGGAAGGGTGGGGGAAAGGTAATACGGGAGAGGAAAAAAATATGAGAAACTGAAAAAATGGAAATAAAGTGTTTGTAAATGGGGAGGGGAGGAGGGGGTGAAGGGAGGGCAGGGACAAGAGGAAAAAATGAGAATCAAGACCTGTTATGTAAAGGTACAGGATCCCAATGATGAATGTAACTGTATTTTATACCTAGATTGTACCAATAAACTCAATAAAAAGAAGAAAAAAAAGAGGATGGCCATGATTAACTCTAGGCTATTTAATGTAGAACTGGAAAACTCTTAATCTAATGGGTGTTGGCAGCACTTTAAAAAATATACAACTGCTTGTATGCTGTACTACCAGGGAAGCGGAGGCACATTCAGGCTGAGTTAAAACTATTAAAACTAATATTTCTATTTAATTCTCATAATTACCCTAGCAGAAAGGTAATTTCAGTCCTGTTATACTGATAAGGGAACCAAGACTCTTATCAAGAGATTCAGTTAGTTTAGAAATGCAATCTGGATAAGTTATGATCCTGAGGCTTTCCTCTCGCGATCATTATGCTCTACGAAAATGAAGAGAGAGGGGTGGAAACACTTTTTCTCCAGCGGGGGGTGCTTCAGTGGAGCCTCTAGCCCACAGCAGAAGCATCTCAAGACCAAGAAGGCCTCGTCCTTGAGCTTCTCTACCCCGGAAGGTGCTGGACCCACAGTAGACCGTGTCCTACGCAGCTCAGCACTTTGGGTTGAGCACTTTGTTAGTGATGGGTAGAGGCGAGGGGTCTACACTATTTAAGAGAAGTAGCTATTTTAAGTAAAGTATGTATTCATTCCTGTGGCCCTCAAGACATTTTGGACTTTGACTCCTCTGTGATTAACAACATTAGTTTAACCTTCAAATGGTATTTTTTTCTTTGTTTTGTTTTTATGGTGCTGAGATCAACCTAGGGCTTCATACACGCTAGAAAAGCACTGTACCACTGAGCTACATCCCCCGCCCTTTTTATATTGTTTTGAGACAGTCACCCAGGCTGGCCTTGAACTTGTGATTCTTCCTGCCTCAGCTTCCTGAGTAGCTGGGGTTACTAGTGTGTACTTCAAAAGGAAATTTCATAAACAACTCAATAACACTGATTCTCATGTTCTTTCCAAGGTGTGAATGTACCATATTTTAAAAAACTTTTTTGCTTTTAGAGGCTGGGGATTTAGCTCAGTGGTTTTGTCGATTGCCTCACAAGTACAAGGTCCTGAGTTTGATCCCTGGTACCAAAACAAAGAACCTTTTTGCTTTTATCTTGCAAGATACTTTCCAATACATCAGAACCTGACTCAAGAGTTCAATCCTCAGTACCAAAAAAACAAAACAAAACCTGACTCAAATTTCATTTACCCAGTTAGCCTTCTTTGACTTTTCCATTCTAAGATTCACACATAATGTACTCCTCTATAGCACTTAAAGAGCAATACAGTCATTCCCAGATATTGCTCTACACTACCTATTTTTGCATATGTGGCATTAGATTTAAGCCATTTTAATAGTCTTAACACAGCCATATCTTAACTTCAACAATGGGATAAACTTAATGGAATTTCTAATCAACAGATTCTGCTTTCTGCATTTTATAAATAAAATGTTGTTTTTGCCCCTTCTTCCTCCTCATTCTACTCCACTAGTGCTACTCCAACAGCATTTTAATAATCTAATCCTCCTATACAGTACAGTTGCACCTCACTGTATAAAAGCACTGAGCAACAGAAAATCACAAGGGGAAAAAGGCCCAGTTAACTTACAGTAGCTCAAAAAATGCATGGAACCTGAGGGTTTTAATACATTTGAGGTTGTATTCAAACATATTTGATCTATCTAAGCAGTATGTTTCTCCTGCAAGAGTCCCTACATCTACAGCAATCCTCACAAAAGAAGCTGTGGCACAATGCAATCACTGCTACAACACTGACTGTAACATAGTTTGCCTTTTAAAAGCATGACAGTCAGGGCTGTCCAAGTTTCCAGTCTCTTGTAGCAAAATAGCATTCCAAATATGTACACTGTGTAAAAGTCACCAGACATGTTGACTCTCTACAGCTGAAGTTATTTCAAGCAAACATATTCTAGTAAGGCTTATATAAAACATGAAAACCCACAAAACCTTGAGGGAAAGAGTAAATAAACAATTTAAGAAAAAGAAATCTATCAAAATCTGTCAAAAGCATGATCTCAATCCTAAATAGAATTTTACTTCATTTTTTTTTTTTTTTGGTTTGTTTTTTGAGACAGTGTCTTGCTATGTAGTTCAAGCTGGCCTTGAACTCACTATGTAGCCCAGGCAGGCCTCAAATTCACTGCTATCCTCCTGTCTCAGCCTCCTGAGTTCTGGGATTACAGGTATGTGCCACTATGCCCAACATTTTTCAAATTATTAATGCAAATTATAAACAACAAGTGCTAATAAAATTTTTAAAAATTATATGAATTACTATTTCCATCATTTTTACTTGGTTTTATTGAAATGTTTTAAGGAGACTATGGGTGCCATTTTCCTACACTTTATACAAACCAGACCAAAATACTGTACTTTTACATTTGAAATAAATCAAAGTTCTTCATAAGAATGAAGACTGACACAGAGATTTGAATTTAATAATTTAGAGCCAAACCAAAATTTCGAGGAATGCAGTGGCCAAACTATTAACCTCAAGTTCAAATTTATCTACTAGTAAATTCAGAATTGAGAAAGTTACCATGTGCATATGTTACTGTTATGATCATTACATCTACTTTACATTTATGTGACCACCTTACACACTAGATATGTTCCAATACCACTTACATATCGTTGCTAAATCTATAGTTTTTTCATCAATGCCATTATCTTTTGGGGGGGCAAACTGGGGATCTAACTCAGGACCTTGCACTTGGCAAGGCAGGCATGGTGCCACTGAGCTAAATCCACAGCCCCAATGCAATTATCTTTTACACATATAGACCTACAGGTGAGGTTCAGGGTACTAAAAATCAAAAGTATGCCCAAAAGGATAATAATTCTCGAAGATTCTGTGAGCCCAAAAACTTATTTTTCAAGATCCTGTATGTACAGTATACATGTATGTAACTAAATGGTTTCCTAAAACTTAACACAGGTGTAGTACTCTGATGTGTCCTCTATACCATTTAGTACTACCTCAAGTATTCAGAAAACGCTGACAAAGATCTCCTAGATTGATCTTATATTCCAGTGGAATATTCATCACAACTGAGGACCAGAGACAATTGCAACTGTAAACTGCTTTATGAAAATAATGTAGAATATATGAAACTCACATGTAAACTTAAAATGCTGTTCTCATAATTTCAACATAGTAACATTCTTCTTACCTTAAAAAATGTGGCTAAAATACTACCCTTGATTCAGAGTTCCTTAGCTGACAACTCTAACTGTCAAACTGAGGTAGGAAGTCACTTGAGCCCACAAGTTCAAGATCCACATAGGCAACAAAGCAACACCCTATCTCAAAAAATTACACCTGAAATCCCACAACTCAGTAGGCTGAGGCAGGGGGATCACCTTGAGTTTGAAGCCAGCCTGGTCTACATAGTGAGTTCAAGGCCAGAGTGATCTACATAGTGAAATTCTGTCAACCAAAAAAATTTTTGTTTTAAAAACTGACTACATTAATATGTTTGATATAATGAGTTGATCAACTGTTATTAATATTAATTTTATGGGACTGGAGGCATAGCTCAGTGGTAGTATGCTTACTGTATGTGAGGTCCTGGGTTCAAACCCTAGCATTAAGAGCAATCAATCAATAAAAATTAAATTTCACATTTGAAAAGCTTTTTAAAATGTGGTTACTAGGAAACAAATTGTGCTGGGCATGGCGACACACATGTATAATCCCAGCACTCAGGTAGCTGAAGCAGGAGGATTAAGAATTTGAGGCACGCATCTACTACATAGTTAAGACTGTATCGAAAAGAAAACAAAAACAAAAAAGTAACATAATATATATATCATAATATATAATATGTATGATATATATGTGCGTGCGTGCGTGTGTGTGTGTGTGTGTGTGTACATTTTTTATACTGGACTCAGGACCTTGCACTT